AGGGCGGGTGACAGCACAGCGGACCATGCCATGGGGCTGATTGGGAGGAACCAAATTCTAAAGGTGAAGACATTTTATCGTTACTTTATTTCACTCACATTTTCCTTTTTCATGAAAGCACAAGGCTGGCATGATTTTAAAAGTCTATGTGCTTAAAGTCTAAGCGCTCTTTCATAAAGGACACCTAAGTGAGCGGAAAGCATTGTGTCACAGGCAAACTGGCAACATTTTCCTGTTAACAGTACAAAAACTAATGCTGCAACTTACAGACGAAGCGGGATCTGATCTCCCCACGCCTGCCCTGGTGCCAGGCCTCGGCGGGCCACCGTGGGCCCCTGATGCTCCCCTTCTGCCTAGGGCAGGGGAGGGGGAGCGTCCCTGCGGCGCGGACACTCAGGGCAGTACTCCCTCCGCCACGTATCTGTGGCCTCTCTGCACCTAGCTTTACCCACATAGAAGGCAGGAGACTAAGAGTCATGCCTGCCTTATAGACAATCATGAGATTTTAAGTAATGTATGTGGAGCGCTTAAATGGCCTGGCACACCACGAGCTCCCGACAAACAGTAGCTGCGTGACAGCTGGAGTGATTCTTTTCAAAGAGGAATCAGATCATGCCATTCTGTAGTCCAAAACTCTAAAGTCAACCAGGAAGGCAGGCAGGCAGGTAGGCAGCCCTCGTAAGGCTGAGATCACCATCTAAGTTCCATACCCCAGCAGGTTGCTCCCCAAAGCGGCAGCCCTCCAGCCTCTGGGCTCACTCCCTGCCACCCCCCCTCCCACCCCTAGGCCACACTGGGCTCTGGGCTATTATCAGCCCAGGACAGGAAGCTTGGACCCTGGGCCTGAGGCTGTGACTTTTATTAACCCAGGTGGCGCCCAGCTCCCTCAGACCTCCCGACCTGCTAGACTGACTTGCCCCTGCTGGGACTTAGGACTTTTTTTTTTTTAATATTGGAGTATAGTTGAGTACAGCAAAGAGATTCATTCATACATATACATATATCTATTCTTTTTTATATTCTTTTCCCATACAGGTTATTGCAGAATATTGAGGAGAGTTCCCTGTGCTCTACAGTAGGTCCTTGTTGGTTATCTATTTTATCCATAGTAGTGTCTATACATTAATCCCCAAATCCTAATTTATCCCTCCCCCCCCACCTTTCCCCTTCGGTATCCATAAGTTTGTTTTCTATGTCTATGGGTCTATTTCTGTTTTGGAAATAAGCTCATTTGTATCTTTTTTTTTTTTTTTTTTAGATTCCACATACAAGCAATACCATATGATATTTGTCTTTCTCGGACTTCACTTAGTGTGATAACCTCTAGGTCCATCCATGTTGCTGCAAATGGCATTATTTCATTCTTTTCATGGCTGAGTGGTATTCCATTGTGCATATGTACCACATCTTCTTTATCCATTCATCTGTCGATGGACACTGGGGTACATGTATCTTTTCAAATTATGGTTTTCTCTGGCCAGCACTTAGGACTTTAGCTGGGGTTTATGATCCTCATCTCCCCCATAATGTGAACCCCCAGAGGGCAGGAACTACCCTGGCTGTGTTCACTCCCGCCTCCAGCACCTAGAACAGTACCTGGCACATGGCAAATACCAATACCTGTGGGGCGACCACATGAGCGAAACAAGTCTGCCCTAGATGCAAGCAGTGTCACTGCACTTCCCATAAAAATACCAGGCCCCTCCGAGCTGCTTCCCCCCCAGTCTCTGCCCGTCTTCACATTTTAAATCCACCACAAAGACACACTGAAAAACAAAGTCATTTTTTGGCACACTCCTAGAACACTGTACACACATACAGGAGGAGAGCAGCCGGCAGTACTAATGAGACCACCAAAAAACTGTGATAATTTGGTCCTAATGGCCTGGGACCAACTGTTGTCAAGCACGGCAGCAAGGCCAGGTGAATACCTCGGTCCACACTCCAAACGAAGCGTAACTCCAAAGAAAGGCACTCGAGGGACAAGGACATCGAAATGACTTTAACGTACAATCTTTAAACGAAAGTCTCCCTGTTTGCCTTTCCTACCTCACGTATTATGAACATACTTTCTAAAAGTTGTTTTTTGTTTTGTTTTGTTTTTAAACAGCAGCATTTCTATCACACCAAATTGTAGGTTTGGAAATCTGTGGTTTAGAAAATTGACACAAAAAGATCAAGTTTTCCAATAAAACTGGACCTCTCTAAGCTCTTCAGTTTCATACCAAGATTGACTCTTTTTTTTTTTTTTTTTTTTTTTTTTGGCGCACCACGCAGCTTATAGGATCTTAGTTCCCGAACCAGGGATCGAACCCAGGGCCCCAGTAGTGAAAGCATCAAGTCCCAACCACTGGACCGCCAGGGAATTCCCCTGACAATTCTTCTTAAACAAGTTTTTTATAGGCTGGTAAATGTATAACTTCACCTATTCATCTCCAAAATGTACTTTCTAACTATCTCCCACCTATTTAAATAAATTCCTTGGTACTAAGTACTTACATAGCTCATCAGAGCATTCGAGAGAATAAAACCCAGCACTTAAATAAAGCTTACAGCTAATGCATTCTGATGAGTAATAAAAAATGATTAGTGGGTTCTGCTTGCACCCATGTAGAAAAAAATATTCACTGCAGCACTGTTTCTTACAGCAAATATTTAAAACTATATTAAAACATACATATAACAGTGTATATATTTTGACTACTGCTGGGACAATACGTAGTCAGCTGGTCACAGCAGTTACAGGGAACTGATCAGCTAGGGATGGAGTGACACGAGGTTTTCTTATGCGTTTGTACCTTTTGAGCGTACAGTGTGCACGCTTATACTTTCAAATCTATCAATAAAAATTTCAGTGGTACACGTTTTTAAATTTTATTTTTGAAATGTAATGCTGTAACAGTGTTTAATGAAACACACTGCCAGCTTTTGAACTTCTTTGAACTCTGCCTAATTTGTCCAGCACTGTATCCCAGGAGCCAAAAGCAGGGAGGGCCCAGCACAGCACGACATGGATTAAGTACTTCTGCCAAATGAATTCGTTTGCTTTGTGCATTCACCAGACAAATATAAATTTAAAAAATGTTCTTATTCCAATCTAAGCAGTTGAAATGCTTTTAAGACGTGTAAATTCACAGAGGACTGAAGTAGCCTACAAGCCAAGAAGTTTTTTGTGGAAGCCGTTATGCGCTAATTATCCTTTCTTCACCTCCCAGGACTGACCTCATGAGCACGCTGCATCTCGAGATACATGTGTCATCAATTTCTCAGAGCTGGACCAATTTTCTTTCCACCACTGCCCCCTGCAGAAAGGCCTCTTTTTTTTTCCCCTTCCAACTACAGCTTCAAATTTTGTTGAAGGTGTAGCTGGATATATTCAGTCCCAGGAACCTTCAGACATCAAACGGGGCACTGCTCACAGACAATGCTTTCCTTGCAGAGCCCGAGTGTGTGTCCCTGCCGTCACCTGGGCAGGCAGGGCAGGATCGCCAGACAGCTCAGTGAGTCTCAGCGATACTTATGAGCCCTGCTGTGGGTGACCCTGCGGAGGGGACCCTGTCCCTGGAGGGACCCTGCAAGGAGGGCAGCTAACTCCCACACCCAGGAGGAAGGGTACCAGCCAACCTCTGCATTTTCCTTCTCCCTTTCCCCTCAGGGAAACCCCCAGCAAAAAGGTAAAAGAATCCCAGCCTCAAAGAAAAGATGGCAATCAAAAGACACTGCCCAGGACTGCTCTTAACACAACCCAGTGTTTCGGAAAATGCAGCTCTAGGTGGCACCTTTCAAAGGAATAAAACATACGGTAAATTTAAGAGAGAACAAAGAGGATTAATTAATTAACTATTTCTAATCGCAAAACTTACTGATCATCAACTGATCAGGGCACTAAGAGTAGAGAAGCAAGTCTGACACCAAGCCACTTTTCCTTATACTTCGAGGGCTGAAAGCGAACCACTATTAGAAAGTAACCTTATCAGAAGTAACAACGCAAACCAGCTGGCTAAAAATACGAAGTGCGAACCAAACACGGCGCCGCGGGTCTCCGACATATAAATAGGAATTAGAACACATTTTAGGTTCCCCAGCATGTCAACTGGGACTCCAACCCGTTTTAGCGTCAACAGCCCACTCTGACACCTTCCTCCAGACCCATTCACTACCCGGTAATTTTCCTACCGCAGATCTGAACACGTCAGAATTCACCTCGAGCCCCCAATCGCCCCAGACTGCTCCGGATCGCTCCAGACGCCCGGCACCCGCGGGAACTTCCCCGCCCCGGGACGCCCGCGGCGAAGAGCATCCCACGCGGACACTGCGCCCTCGGGAAGGGACGCGGGGCCGTCCCTGGCGCAGCCTCACAGTGGGCGCAGCCTCACCCTGGGGGTGCACTCTCCGCAGAGTAGGGCATCCCGCGCGGACACGGTGCCCTCCCGAAGAGGACGGGGGCGGGGGGGCCGTCCTGGGTGCAGCCTCGTGCCGGGGCGCAGCCTTCCCTCCCTAGGGCGCAGCGCATCCGGAGCAGAAGCGGCACTCCCGGGGAGAGGACAGTGCTGTCCCCAGCGCAGGCTGCCTTCCCGGGGGCGCAGCCTCATCCCGAGGTGCAGCGTTCCCTCCCGGGGCGCAGCCTCCCCTTCATCCCCGGACTCCCCATACGCGCCCCGGGGCGCAGCTTCATCCCGGGGCGCAGCCTCGCTCTCCCGCGGCGCAGAGCATCCCGCGCAGATGCGCGGGGAGCAGACGCGGGGCCGTCCCGGGCGCAACCTCCCCTCGCCAGGCGGCCCGCAGCCCCTCCGGACAGCCCCTCCGGACAGCACTGGTCCCGCTCGAGCCGCGCGCCCGGCGCGGCCTCACCACCTGCCCGGCGGCGCTTACATAAACGCGGCCACGGCGCTGCCCGGCGCTGCCCCGCGCTGCTGGGCGGCGTGGTCGGGCCGCGGTACCAGAGCCTCGCCGCCCCCGCCACCCCCGCCGCCCCCGCCGCCCCTGTCGCCCCGCCTCACCTCAGCCGCGGGCCGCTCCGCTCCGCGCCGCACCGAGCCTCGGACCGCGAGTCCGCGGAGCTTCGCTCGGCCGCCCGGGGCTGCGGCGCGCTGCCCGTGGCCTGGCGCGGCCCCGAGCGCGCCCCCGAGCGCGCCCCCGAGCGCGGCCAGACCGGCCGCCGCCTCAGCCACCGCCTCAGCCTCCACCCTCCGCCCTCGGTGTCGGCTCCGCCCTCCCCTCGCCCCCCGCCGCCGGCCGCGCGCACGCCGGGGAGCGACGCCGCGACGCAGCACGGGCGCGCGCGCGCACCCTGCGCCGGGCTCTTCCTGCGGTCCGCTGGGGACGGGGAGCGGGGACGTGGGTCCGGGACGGGGAGCCGGGGCGCAGAGAGCCATAGGGCAGGGTGGGGGGTACCCGGCGGGGACCGCCCATGAGACCCCCGCCGGCCGCCTGGGGCCCGCACAGTCCCCGCGCTGGAGGGCGCGCCGAGAGCGGGACGCGAAGGTGCGTCCGGCCTGTGCGGGGCCAGATCGGGGCGTGTTGGGAGGAGAGGGTGGGGTCACGCCCCCAGGCCCCGAGGGGCGCCCTGGGTGAGAGCAGAAGCGAGTCCAGATGACCGGTTACGGTGGTGGTGGGTCGGTGGGTTTGGCGGTGCAAGCATTCAAAGCCTCGTGGAGCCGTGCAGTAAGCAGACTCCTCTGTCTGTGTTCACTGGCTCTTCAGCGCTTGCACCGAGAACAGCTACACACAGGATGAGAAGCATCTGTGGAAATGCAACATCGAAGACCAGAATAAGCAACTCGAGGCTGCGGTTCTACTCAGAACAGAAAATGGTTGGGTAGAGAAAACTAGTTCTTGAATGCACTTGGGGCGCTGGTGGTCCACCAGGCGGACTCGGGTGCAGATAGGGGTGACGGGCAGGCCCGGGGGTCCAGCTGCTCAGGGCCGGGGCCCCAAGACTGCTCTCCAAGGTCAAGTGAGGCTGCCGCCCTTCTCAGCTGTGGGGCCTGAGGCCGTCTCTCTGGACCGCTGCCTGTTTGCTCCAGTTTAAAATGGGGAAGAAAAGTCAAATAGAGGGGAAAGACCCCAGCCCAGCACTCCTTAATTGTTAGCTACTGCTGTCCTTCCCACAGTCATCGGACAGAATTGAGCATCCCTGAGAGTCCAGTGGCCTGGAGCATAAATAAACCACAGGGGAAAGTGCTGCAGCCGGCCAGTTACCTGCTTCAGGTTGCTATCTGATGGAAAGGAAAAACCCGCCTTTGGGGCCTGCCAGCTACCAGGCAAGCCCAGTGCCCTCCCTGAGGGCTAAATGCCAGTACAGGGTCCAAAGCAGGGCTTGTTGACAACACGGAAAAATCAAAGACTCCTGGGATGCCTTCTAGGAGTTCATCCTATTTTTGTTAATAAACAAGAAGTGCATGAGAACTTTGTGTGTAACAAACCACCCCCGAACTAAGTGGCTTGAAGTAATCGTTTCTTTGCTCGTGATCCAGAAGGCCAGCAGCTGGGACGGCTCATCTCTGTGAACGGGGTGTGGCCATGTTAGCTGGGACTCGCAGGGGCCACTCCCACGGCCTGTGGCCAGGGCTGCTGCTTGCGCTGCCGTGGCTCGGTCAGCAGCGAGAGGGAAGGCACAAAGCTCGGCGCACAGGGCTCTTTCAGCCTCTGAACCGTGTTTACTAATGTCCTGTTGGCCAAAGCAAGGCAAGGGGCCCAGCCCTGAGTCGGTGGAGCAGCCTTGGCCCAGCCCGGTGACCTGCAGGGAAACACACGCCTGCCTTCCAGTTGCGGTGGGCTGTGTGCGTCTCGGCAGCGGTGGAGAGAGCAGTGCCGCCGTGACCATGGCCTTCACGTTGCTCCAGCTGGCTGGCTGGCCTCTTGGCACCTTTGGAGATGGCCAGGAGCCTGGGATTGCCCCTGGCTGTTGTACTCCACCTCCTCAGATGCCATCGTCTCCAGGGACAGGTTTATCGTGGCGTTCTTCTCCCTGACCATTCCCCTGTGCGCCACAGGAACGGCTCACAGAGCGTGCCTCTTCGTACTGATGTGCGAGCCATTTCCAGGCACCCGGGGCCGAGACGTGGGACGTACCAGACAGGAAGGGTCATGGAGGCACCTGAGAGCTTAAGGTCCCTGATGCGGGATCCTGCAGCCTACTGAGAAAAGCCCATCCTTCCCCCTGTTCACCATCAGGGTCAGACCCGTGGACGCCCAGAAGGGGCCCCGGGTCTCCATAGAGGTGCTGGCAGCTGCGACCACACGGTCTTCAGTGCAAAGGGCAGCACCAGGCCTGAGCCCCCGCCCCGCCCCGCAGACCCCGTTCTGTTGTTTAACTCACTCGTGCAAACTGCGAAAATGAAATAGCACTTCGGTGTCCAGGAGAAGATGATGCCCAAAAGCTCACCTGTAGGGATCTAGCTGGTCCCCTCTCTGCCCCAGGGATGGGGTGATAGAATCTACCTGAGTGTGTGAAACTCCACCTGCCGGGATCCCTGGCCGCACAGCACCGATCCACCTCTCCCCTTCTTCCTCCAGCTGAACCAGATGGCATGACCACATCGCTGTAGCCCACAAGCAGAAGGAGGACTTATGACAGGCACTGCATCCAGGACAGAATGGTGCAGAAGGGCTTGTAATGGTCTGAGGACGAAGACCTCGCCCACTCAGGAGCGGGGGTGTGAACTGGTTTCAGCCTGCAGCTCCGGCCGTTCGGGAATGGCTGGAAGGAGGGGTGAGGTGCCCAGCCCGACGGCTGAGGGGCTGCTCTGGGCACATTCCCACCCTGGCTCTCAGGAAGGCCTTACACGGACGGGCGTGCCCAAGGCTTGCAGGTGCAGATCCACTCTTTTATCCAACAGCCCAGCGGAGTGTGGCAGCCGTGCAGCCCCGAGCAGGGACAGGCGTCACAGCCTGGCAGCGACAGGCGTCACAGCCTGGCTTTCTGGCCCTCGTTCCAGGCCTGGGGAGCTGCCCCTTCTGCCCACACGGGGTGACCCGACCCAAGGGATCCCATCCCTTCCTCTGCCGGCCAGGCACGGTCCTGGCCGGTCCTGCTGAGACTGCTCCCAGGCCACAGTCCCGGTTTGCTCAGGCCTGCGATGGTACCACGTGGAGTGTAGATGTCAGTCATTTAACCCTGAGGAGGGACTACCTTTCTCTTGTTCCTTTGGAGTCCCTTTCACTGCAGTCCCTGTGCACAACCAAAAGTGTGTCTGAAGAAGAAATGTGTAGGGCTCTGTTTTCTTTCACTCTGCCCAGTCCGTTTGAGAGGGGACTGGAAGCTTTAGATTATCGTCTAAAAGTCGGTTATTGACTCCTTGGTTTCTAAAACAGCCAGGAAGCTACACCTGCTAGTGAGTGGTAACCAGTACACTGTGATACATTTATCTGAGACATATATTTTTAAAAAACATGAAACCGGAGTGATAGAAACCAGATGCGACTAAACTTTCAGTCATTTTATCCTGGGAGCGGACTTCTGGCTTGGGCTCTGCTCAGCTCGGGACAGGTCTCCTCCTCTGAGTCTCCCAGACCCCACAGTGAAGCCCCCAGTCAGGAGATGGGCCCGGAGCAGCCCCATTTGTGCCCGGGAACACGCACCCACCTCCACTCCCAGCTCCAGGACTGAGGGGGAGTTCTGACTCAGGGGGATTTCGCTGGGAACCCGGGGCTGGCACTGACTGGGCCTGGAGCCCCTCTGTGCGCCTTGGACCTGAAATGTGTAAACCCAGAGAGGCAGGATGGTCTTCATCGCCGGCCTTGTATACGTCTCAGGGAAGCCAGCCTGAAGTGAGAACGGTGGCACGTCAGGCAGAGGCAGGACACTGAGGACCTTCTGATGGCTTTTTAATGCCTCAGGCAGTGTGGCCTGTGCGTGGGCGAGCACACGGTTAAGACGATGAACTCACTTTGGAGTTGTTCCTAGTCCGGAGGTGGGGGGGGGGAGGGGCAGGGCGTGGCTAACTGGGGGCCAGCCTGGTGTGAGGGGCACAGGCTGGGGTCGGACGGGGTTCACACCCGCTCTGCCCCTCGTTAGTGTGTGACTGGGACGTCGTCTGGACGCTCGGAGCCTCTTCTTCATCCATAAAAGGAGAGCGTGACACCCACGTCCCAGGCCCGCCCAACGCCCCAGCGTGGAAGGGCTCAGGGTCAAGAGCGTGGGCGCTGCGTGCAGAGGTGCGTGCGTCCGAGGACCTGCAGCTCGCCGCGCTTGGGAGTAATCACGGCAAGGTTCCCGTGAAGACAGGCCTTTGGGCTGAGCCGTCGAGGATGAGGAAACCTTGGCGGGGAGGGTGCCCCGGCGAAGGGGGATGCTCTTTCAGCGTGCGATCAGGGGAGTCATCCTGATCGGGCCCCGTGGGTGCCCTGTCCTCCCCAAACCTCCAGCACGATGGAACGTGCCAAGTGGTCAAAGCAGAGACTGCAAACCCCAGCTGGGCAGACGCAGCCCGGGGCCTGTGTCTATACCGTCCACAGCCCAGGCCAGGCTGAACGTTCATAAAGCGCTGGGGAAAGGAATAGACAACAGACGCACATGTGGCCCGAAAAAGCCCGAACTAGTTACCATCTGGCTTTTTAAAGAAAACGCGTGCCACCCCTGGATTAAGCCCAGTAGGGACTCCCCCCGGTCTGGGAGCTAGACCGGCTCCATCAGAGCACAGAAACTGCGTGGGGAGAAAGGAGAGGCGAACCCAGACCAGGGCCCCGTCAGGAAGGGGAAGTGGCTCGTGAGGCACCCGGTGGCGTCTGCTTTAAAGCCAGTGCAGGTACCCAGGTGGATTCTGGCGGCTTAGGTCAGCAGGTAACAGTGGGAGCAGAAAGAGTTCAGACGTGTTTGGAAACGCACTTGGTATGTTTGGCGCAAACAGGCTTGGTGGGAAGTTGGGTAAAGGGTGTGAGCAGGGAAGGAGCACATCTCGCACCCAGGAGTCTGGCCTGTGTGTATCCGAGTGGGTCACCTGGGTGATGGTGTTTGTGCTGAGATGGGGAGACTGAAGGAAGTGCCTGGGAAAAGCCAGAGGCCCCCTTGGCTGTGCTGGGTTTGCAGTGCCTAGAAGATGTCCAGGTGGATGTCTGTGTTCAGAAGATATAAAAGATTAGGGTCCAGAGAAGAGGACTGTGCTGGGGACACACAGCCAGGAGCCTGGAAGGTGGAAGCAGTCGCCCAGGGAGAGAGGAG